GCTCCTTGTCACATGCCTCCTCACCGACTTTTTATGTGAGCAATGAGGCTGGCTGTGTGACGTTCTCCGTAAGATATTTGGTATACCCTGAGCACCTCCTGCACTCCTTCTGTTGCTGTTATTGTTATTATTATCATCAAGTTGTCATGTTAAATGACATTTGCCATATTTCATTCATGCAGCAGATTTATACATGTGTTGTGCGTGTGTATGTGTGGGGCGAGCGACAAACGCAGTTGGCCCGAAAGACGCAAACCATAAAAAAGTGGTCTGGCATATCCTGTTGTTGCTGTTGTTGTTGCTGCTGTTGTTGTTGCTTCTGCTGTTGTATATATCCAGAATATCCTGCTTCCTTTGACCGTAGAAAATGAGCCATGTGAACTGTTGCGGCTGCTTCTGCCAACAATGGTAATAGTCCACAACTCTTCAGCCCCTCCCGCCTGCCCCCCGTCCGCCCTTTTTCACTCTCTTTTTCTATTGTTGTCGCTTTTGTGTGTTGACTGCTTTTGGAGTTCTGTGTGTGGTGCACAGTTTGTGGCATGTGTCAGCAACTGGCAGCGGGCAACGAGCGACGGGCAACGGGCCACCAGCAACTGGCGACGGGTTATCAACTTTTGGTTTTCGTCTTTATTTTCATTTGCATACATTTTTAAAATGTCTCCTTACTTAGTCTCTCTCGCTCTCACTTGCACTAAGTCGTGTCGTCTGCTTAGTACTTCAATTGTTCTCCCATACATTTGCTTCGCTGCTGCTCAGACCGTTCCACTCCAGGTGGCATTCCCCTATCGCTCTATTTCTATTTATCATCCTATAACTGCATATCTGTTCTCTCTCTGTTATCACTAATATTTTCTATAGCTGTCACTCGCAGCTGTCATCGCTCCCAGAACTTCGCCCACATCTTTGTGCTCTTCAGTCTTTTGTCAACTAGCAGAAGGCAATTATATATACAGCACATAAGAATTGCTATAGACCCACATTGTGGGTATTCAATTCTGGTCGCAAAAAGCAATTAAACTATGCACACATGTGTGTGTGTGTGTGAGGAGGAGGCTCTCTGTCGTTCGCTTCTTGGCATTTCCATCAACTTTTCGCATATTATATTTTAAGCCGGATATTACAAAATGGCCGCTTGATTGATACTACACAGAATTGTGGTTCCGGTGTTGCCCACCGTCACAATATATTGTGTGTGATTAAAATACATATCACATATAAAGATTCAGCATACCCCTGCGATATTTATTTACAGTCAGTGTGAGATCAACTCTCGCCTTATATTTGTAAAAGAAATTAGATTCCTCATTGAAATTTCAAATTTTTCTTATATATATGGTTATCAGCCTTTGCCTTTGCCTTTGCTTGCTCTAAACAGTTTCTTCTCAGTGTTTAGAGATTTTGTTGTCATATATTGGTGACTTAGCAACGGTCGCTGCCAAATGCAATTATCCAAAAGTTTTTACTAAAAAAAAAATATCAAAAGCAGCTTGAAATCGAGTAAAGAAAATTAAAAAAATAAAAAAAAGAGCCAACAGCAGCAGAAGCTGCCGTAGCCGGTTCGCTGTGCGTCAGCCGCAGGCGTCTCTTGGCGGCTTTTGCGGCTTGTTTCTATTTGTCTGGCAGCCGCCAAAAAGTAGAAAATTAAATTTGTTTCAACTGCAGACTTTGCTCAGGTTTGCTGCGCTCTTGGCTTGCCGGGGCGCAGCATAAAAAGGCGCCGGAAGCTGATTTTCCACTTGTCAAAAAAAAAAAAGAATGAAGAAAAACGGAAAACGGCTGCGTCTGACGGCAACTTTTTTTCTTTCATATTTTTTGCGCTTGCTGTCTTCCGTTACTTTGGCTGGTCGCCATTTTACGTTGAATTGAAAGCGTTTGGCGCGCGAATAAATAAAAATAAAGATTGTCAGGCCATTTATAAAAGTTTAATGCCAATTTTGAAGCCTACTAATCGCATGGAAATGACTGAGACGTGCCACAGACCCTTAAATCGTCGACCACACAAACAAATAAAATATGTTTTATTGCTTTGACTCGAATGCGTCAAAAATGTGACAGCGAGAACAATGAAAATTTACACCCGAAACGTCATGAATAATTTTGGGGCCAGCCTCATTGATGGCTGATTAAGTTTAATTTGTCCCATTTCAAAACGCTGAACGATACAAATAAAACGTGACAAATGTACTAATCAAGCGTTTACATGCAAACAAGCCTGGTTAATACCGCCATATGTTTTACGACAATGAAGTGGGATAAAGTAATCTTGACATGCAAATTAATGACTGCGATGGAGCAGCTGGAGGAGTAAAAAGCAGCTCCTAATAATATAACGAAAATATTCCAAATAAATTTGAAATGAACTTTATCTAACTGCAAATAGTAGTAGAGAGCGATATGAAAAGCGAGATAACACTAACAGAAATTGCAATGAATATTTTGTGCAATTTATTTTCACTGCACTTGAAATATTCATGCAAATGTCAGAGTCGGAATATATATTGAGTTTATACATATGTATATACATATATAGCCATTGTTATGAGCCTAAAGTCTCCCGAGGCACACACACATGTGTGCATATATAATAGGCCCGGCATATAAAACGGAAGCCGTTGAAATGCTGCTGCGTGCCTGAAAATCTTTACATTATTTTTATTTGGTTTTTTTTTTTTTTTTGGTATTTACCTTCCCAAATATTGCCCAGACTCACTCACGAGGGTCGCTTTCAAGGTTCGTTGCGGCTCCAGAGCTACTTCAAGCATGATTTTTAAATATTTTATAACAATTTGTGTGAAAAGTAAATAGGAAAAGCTCAAACCTCCTCACAGACCTCTAGAAAAATTCCTGCTTTGCCTAACTGGAAGAAAGCTATTAGCGTTGAATTGTGTGCTGATTGAAATTGAAAGGCAGCTGTTTGAAGAGGTTTCTGGCTGGGTTTGAGAAGCGCCCGAGTTAAATGATGTGTGCCAAAAGCTCTTGGAACCTTTATGAATACGAAAGTATGCAAAAAGAAAAAAAAATGTGTTTATATTAAAAGAAACGAATTTCCATTGTGCTACAGTTTGATTTATAGCGCTTTATTGACAATGTAAGGCTAGCAATTTATAAGAAGGCTTTCAATTAAGTCGAAACTCGCATCAATATATGCTTAGGGAAATGTTTTAGCATATAAAGACAGCACTCACTTTTAATTTAACGACTCCTCAAAGTATGCAATACATTTTTTACTTCGTATACCCCGCTTGCAACACCTGTTCTATCGATGCTTTTTGGCAGAGGTTAAAGCAAGCTCTCCCAATGGCTACCTCCCTTCATCCCTCCATCCCTCCATCCGTTTCCATGTGAGGGTTGGCTGCTTAGCAACTGGCCAAAAATACTTGTTATCGCTTATGTTGTCTCTTACGGTCTGCTGCATTCTCGAACGAGAACACACACACGCACACACACATACATGCATACACACAATTTTTGAGCCCAACGATGCGTTGCGTAACAAAGTTTGCAAAGGGCAGTGGGCGGGTTGGGGTGTCTAGGGTTCAGAGTGAGATGGAAAATATGAAATGTGTTTCTAAGTCTCTAGCTGCAATCACTTTCGGTTATTGGTTAATGCTCCCTGGCATGAGTTGGGTTCGATCTCAGGTTTTTCATCTCCACAACTAAATATTTGTAATTTGCCATGATTTTGTTTCGTTCGAGATAAGCCCGAAGGTCGCATTTGGGAGAGCGGCAGGGAAAGTCCTCAATAAAAATTACCAATATTTACTTTACAAAATGACAGTTCCACTTGGATCTACTTGAGAGAGAGGGAGAGAGTGTGAGTGGATGGAGCAGGGCAGGCCTTAAATCCCCTGTCAACTTTGCTACTTAATAAAATATGAGTGCCAAAGTGGAAGATACAAACAGGCGAGAGGACTCTGGGACAGCAACAGCAGACAATAACAACAACAAATAACGTGGCGGACACTGGGCGAGAGGGGGGCTGGCAGGACAGAGACAAGGACAAGGACGTGCCACTAATGGCTGCCAAACTCAAGTGCCGTCGATTCGGCTTGCCAAAGGGATAAAGAAATAAATAGAAAATGCAAATAGATGGCAAGACATTTGCCAAGGAGCTGCGATGCAAACCAGACGACAACTTTTGCCATGTCCTGCGGGACTGAATGGGGTGGCGTGTGTGTGTGTGTGTGTGTGCGTGTGTGAGTCCAGAGTTAACCTCAGCAGCCGTGCTTCCACGCTGCCACTTTTGTCACTCAAGGACATGCGTCGGCCATAAACTGTTGATTTTTATGTTCGCTCGTGCCGCGACAGTAGCCAAAAGGATCTTCTATGGACTACGACTCTCCTCTCGTACATCATTCAGGTGTGTGCTAGGCATCTAAGAGCTTTTGTCTGGCTTTTCGCGCTGCTCTCGTTTGCCCTGTTTGACATGTGTCAAACTTTGTGCGGCGACTGTAATTTTAGCCAGCCAGCAGCCAGCCCGAGCTGGGTCCAAGGTCGCTGGGAACAGCTTTTGTGGCTGTGGCATTAGTCTCGAAATTATAGCGCTTAGTGCGGGGCCCCCACTTCCGGCCAGATGTTTATAAACCAATTTCAATAGTTTTATGTCCCTTCGTGTGCACGTGCGTGTATGCGTGTGTGTGTGTGTGTGTGTGTTAAGCGTGCATTTTACGACTTAATACATATGTATGTACATATAGAGCACCTGCTGCTGTGCTACAATTTTTTATTCTCGCCCCACATTTCATTATGCTCCCAGTCTGCTCGGTTTTGGATACGCTGCCTCATATCGCATTTCCAGCTGTTGTTGCGCCATTGAAGTAATCGATGGGTAGGCTATATAACTTGCTATTAAACAAACCCCAATGCCGTTTTATGTTTAATAATTTAGCTGACTCCGCGCTGTTCAAATGTATTTTTATTGATTTTATTTTATAAGACTGATAATATAAATTTATGATTTTTATTAAATATTTCTCTCTCTCTTTCTCTTTCTCTTTTAGGTAAGTGACGATGTGCTTTCGCTTGCTTTGAGTCAGAATCAAGTAAGATACTTTTTCATTTTTCATTTAACTTTAAGTTTAATTTGTTATTACTTTTGTGCATTTGCCTTAAAGTTGTTGGCTTTTGTTGAGGCTCGTATATCAATGGTCTAACACCTTCGGGGCTTAGCGCTCACAGCGCTGTCTGGCTTCATAAATCAATCAGAGCGCACAGCATCGCGTTTGGCTTCTGTTTGTTTGTGCTGTTGGAGTTGAGTGGTGAAGCGGGCCCCCTCAATGTGCGGGTGGGGGGGCATCGAATTTATTATTGTTGTTACTGTTGCCGCTGCTGTTCCTGTCGAATGTTGCAGCAACATTTCCGGCGCAAAGCAGTTAATTTGTCAAATGTCTGCACTTTATCACTATATCGTCAGATGCGGCAACAACAGCCCAGTCATATCCAGGCGCATCCACACTTCCTCCTGGGGCTGCTGCCGGAAAACGCATTACGCACTCGGGCATTTTGGGGCTTGCCTCTGTGAAATTTTGAAGCGATGCGCAATCAGAGCACTGATGCGATTCCCGCAGGAACGAGAAAAGAGTGCATAGAAGAGACCAGTCGGGGCCCATCTGCATTGTCAGCTTCCTGCACCAGGGAACGAAAGAGACACACACAGCGAAAGAGGGAGAGAGAGGGAGAGCTGCTGGAGTTGGGAGTGTTGTTAGAAAAACTCACTGGCAAAGCAATTTAAAGTTGCATCCATAACAGAAGCAACAGCAAACAACAACAACAACAACAACAGCAGGGAAAATTCAGCCTTTGGCCTGCAGGGAAATCTGTCCGAGCTAATGTTGTTCTGGCTCTGGACCATCCTGTCTGCCTGCCAGAGTCAGCACACAAACTGAGCCGGGAGTCGGCGAGTGAAGCCGCACCCCAAAATCGTAATTAGAAAAGTGCTTGCATGATAACTCACTTTTTGAGTTGTGGCAACCCTGGTTCGGTTTTTTGCCCATTGAATAGCTCGCTGTTAAGTGGGCAAGTGGAATGGTCACTCTTTCCCAGCAAATTACCCAAATCTATTTACATGGTCACTCTAATTGCCAGTATGATAATCCCGAGAGCCAAGCGCTGCCAGTTGGGAATCGTCCGGTTGACATTGTTGTCTGCCGTCAATGCATGCAACACAATATATTTGCAGCATTGGCAACATTTTCGGCATGCAAAAAATGTCATCAAAATGCCATTACCAAGTGGGAAAACTGAGTGATCCAATAGATGCCTAGAATGCACGAAAAAGTTGCTGATTGGGATTTGCATGGAATAGAAGGCGATTTGTGTGCCCAGGCTCAAATTACGTAAGCCATTAGAATAAATGGAGAGCCAAGTAATAAAATGTAAGCTACGATTATCAAAGAAAATGTCATCTAGCACGGCCTTAAAGTTTCTCATAATGGAAATTAATATCGAATTCAAAGAGAATTTCTAATGCCGGCTCAATGCCTAAGGGCTGAAGGCAATTATGCGCACACATTGGCTGGGCATCCTTGGCAACCCTTAATATAGACCACATCTCTATTATATGGTCGAACTGGAAATAGACTCATTTCTGCACGACATATGCAACAGCCTGTGCATAATTTCAGTGTTGCAACCTTCAATTAAAGCAGACGGGCCGAGGCGTGCATGAAATCAACGCCTAATAAAAGGTCGGACACCGGCTTGGCCAGGGTTGTCGCCCGTCCACAGCATTGCGCCTTACTACACTCTTGCGCATTGTTCATGTTGTGTGCATTCTGGCCGCTGTGCGGTCTCTCCATTCTATTCAGCCCGGTTGTAACGAATCGCAGCTACACAATCATGACGACACCAACGAACAACGAACAGCGACAACCCATGCAAAACAACAGGAAGAACAGCGGTCGGTCGGTCAGAGCTGCAAATGGGATTGCATAAGGGGCATTAGGCCGGACTCTGTGCGGGGGAGGGAGTCCTCCACTAGTTTGGGGGGCTCTAACGTGACGCCACAACAACGTCATCAACAGACCCAGCTCGAGTCCGACTCGCCAGCAGAACCCTAATGACAACCGCACGTCATCAGCGTTGTCGTCATTTCTGCTGCTGCTGATGTTGTTGTTGTTGTTGTTGTTGTTGTTGTTGTTGTTGTTGTTGTTGTTGTTGT